GCCTGCTATTGGTAAATTTTTGTTCGAGTTTTCTGTTTTTTTAAATAAATTTCATCGACTAAATTTTTTTTTAATTTTTAAAATTTTTTTTAGCCCGGAGTAGATTTTTAATTGACAATATTCTCTAAATTATTGTTTGCAAGTATCTTAGATTATTGTTTATAAAATTTCTATGATTAAAAAAATGGTCAAATTATTTTTCTAAAGGGCGACGAGAAAAAAGATAAAAATTTTTTTTAATGTGGGAGAGAAATAGATAAATTTTTTTAGAAAAATAATTCCCTGTTAAATATTTAGATGTAAAATCTAGAGAGATTCTCTTTTTCTTGTTCACTTTGTTCTTTAGTTTTTTCTGTCTTAATATAATTTTTTATACGTTTTTTATACGTACCTATGTAAAAATTAAATGAAGCTGAAGTCAGCAACGTTTTTAAAAACGAAAACTATTCTTTAAGAAAAAGTTAATTTCTTAAAAATTTGTGCACATAAAAATTTGAGTTTAATTAACTTGAAAAAAAATTCTAATATTTAATTTTTCATTTTTAAAAACGTTACGGATTTTAATTTCATAAAATTAAACTAAAATTAGTTATTTTTATAATCTACAGTCGAGAGAAATTGATGTTATTGGGTTTATTAGGTAAAAAGTTACTCGATTTTCAATCCTGACTCTTTTCTCAAAGTTTTTTTTCGTTAATAATTTTTCATTTCTTGTTGTGTAATGTTAATGAAGAATTTTTAAAAAATTAAAAATTTATTGCCAAGGAAGGACTGCCATGATTTAAATTCAATAATCTCTTTTAATAATATTTTTATTAAATACATTTTTTATTTTATTTTGCATTGAATATTTTTTTCATTTTTTAAAAAATAAGAATCAATTTCTCGTTTTTAGTTCATCAATAATGTTTCTTTTTTTTCATTGAGAAAATTTTTTAATATACGGAGAAATTGAATTAAATCTATTTTTTGATATGTAAATTTTTTATTCATAAAGTGTGTATAATTCAAGTCTCTATTTTTCTGTAAAAAAAAAGAATTAGATATTGAACTTTTTAAATATCAATTTAAAAATTTTTGATTCCCCTAAATAATGTTTTATGAAATTCAAATTATAATACATTTGAAATATGAAAATTCTATTAACAGGATTGCCACAGGTCATCGAAATCAGGGAAAATTAATTTTTTTTCTTATTTCTGGAAAATTAAATTCATTTTTAAATGTAGAATAACTTTCTTAAAGTTATTAATATTAAAATCCACTTAAAAAACATGTTAGTTAAACAGATTTGCAATTTTCAGAAATAATTGAATTTTATAAAATTTTAAACTACAAAATTTTTGAAAATTCCAATTACTGTGAATAAATTAATAATAATTACAGAGATCGCAGTGATTGTTTTTATGTAATATTAGATAAAAAAAGGAGATTCATATATGATGAAAATTGGATTTTTCGAATTACAATAAGAAATTATTTTAACATTCTAGAAATTTTACTATATTTAAAGTAAATTTTAGTAAAAATTAAATTTTACTTCAGATTTAGTAAAATTAAATATTTATTTAAATTGTAAATTTTTTCTAAAAAAAAGTTATACATATTCAAAATTTTACCAGAATTTATTTAGAAATATAACCAGGAAAAACTGGAAATTTGAAGTAGGTTTCTCGGATGAATCGTAAAATAGTATCCAAAATAATTTTATTTCTAAAGAGATATAATTAAAATTATTATTAACTCGTTAATTTTAAAAAGATTAAAATTTAAAGATTTTTTAAGAAAATAAAAATTTAAGCACATCAAACCTGGAGTTGACTTAACTTGAAAAAAAAATTCTTTTCTAATTTTCAGTTTTTAAAAATATTGTGGACTTCAGCCTTTTAAAAATAGTTGAATTTATTTTAAGAATTTTATTGCATTGTTCGAAAATAATCAATGGAAATTAGCCGCTGTAATTAATTTAGTTTTAAAAAAAGAAACCCTTAATTTTCTAAAGCAAATTTTTGCATTTAAAAATAAATTTTTAAATAATTGAACTCTACTATGTACTTGAATTTTTTTTATAGGTTTCAAGGAAGAAATCAGAATTCCATTTGGAAGTTACGGAAAAATAGAGTTCAATTTTTTGTGGCAACCCTGATTAAACGAAATTTTAATGATGTATACTTAGTAATTAAATTTTAATTAATTAAAATAATGTTAGGTCATTTAATAATTGTTTACAAAAAATTCGGTTAATTGAATTGATTTTTTTTTATAAATTTTATGAACGAAGCTAAATTTGGTATAAAATAGAATTACCATTAACTTTTTAAACTCATTTAACTTAAAATTCGGCTAAATAAAAATTGGGGCTACTGAAAATTCAGTAAATTAGAAACGAATGGAAATTCGGAAAATTTGGACTAATTTAGTTTCAATATATTATTATTATATCGCGTAAAATGAAAAGAAAAGAATTTTACTTTTTCAAAGTTAAAAACTATATATTTTTCTCTAATTTCATTTTTTTCCATTCGGTCATATAAAAAATATTAATTTTAATTCCTTTAGCAAAAAATAAAATATATAAAAAGCTCTTAACATACAAAATTCTAATCTTCCTTTAATAATACGTTGAAATCCGCAAGGTTTTTAAAAACGAAAGAAAATAAAGAAAGAATTTTTTTTCAAGTTAAATTCATCTCTAAAATAAAATAAATCGTCGCAGGGCTCGAACTAAGTCCGTAAATCCCACAATGGTCCGTAAATTTACTTCAAGTCCGTAAAAGTCAGTTTTTTTGAACAAAGGTCCGTAATTTGATTGAGAAAAGGCGAAAAGTTCGTAAATTGTAAGATATAATTTTGAAAATTTTCGAGAAGTTACAAATGATTAACGAAATTCAATTATTTTCAAAAATTTATAAAATTCTTCGCAGAAATTCAATAATGTTCCAGAATTTATAAACATTCTAGTCAAAATTTCAATTATATTTAGAAATAATAAAATTCTTCTCCGCAATTTAATTATTTTCAAAAATTTTAATAAAATTCTTGTCAAAATTTCAATTATTTTCAAAAATTTGCTTCAATTCCATGATTTTTAATATCTGCTATTTTAATCAAATTTTCCAAAATAATTCAATTATTTAAAAAAAATTAATAAAAATTCTATGCAAACCTTTAATTATTTTCATAAAATAATAAAAGTTTCACAGGAATTCAATTATTTTCATAAATAATAAAACTCATTTCAAAATTTCAATTATTTTTGATACAATTTTAATCGAATTCCTTGAAAAATGTAATTATTCTTTAAAATTTTATTAAAATTCGTCAAAAGAATTCAATTATTATTTAAAAATTTATTGATAAAATTTTTTATGAAGCAATTCATTTGTTTTCATAAATATTAAAATTCTTCGTAAAAATGTAATTATTTTCAAAAATTATAAAACTCATCGCAGAATTTCAATTATTTTTAATACATATACAATTTTTATCAAATTCCTCAAAAAATGTAATTATTCTTAAAAAATTTATTAAAATTCGTCAAAAGAATTCAATTACTTAAAAATTTGTTGATAAAATTTTGTATGAGAATTAAATTTTTGAGAAACATTCAATTATTCAATAAATTATTTATGAATTTTGTTTTTTTAATCATTTAATTCTCGTTGAATTTTCTAAGAAAATTTGATTTAAAAATGAATTTTAGTTAATATTTTAGATAATAATTAAATATTAATAGCATTATAGCTTGAGTTTTTAGAAATAATTGAATTTTGAAAAGGTTTCAATTTAAGAACTTTGAAAATCTGAATTTTTCATATTTTTAACCAAAAATTCTGTGGAATTAATTTTTTTGAGAAACTTTAATTTCGGATTTTTTTGAAATTATTTGAAGTTTATATATATTTTCTAATATATATTTAAGATTAAAGAATTTACGAATAATTGAAATTTTGTAATATTGAATTGTAAACAAATAAATTTGAAAACTATTAAAGAACTTTCTCAAAAATTATTAAAAATAATGCATTTATAGAAGAATTTTAGTTAAATACACGAAAAAAAGATGTAATTTTGGAAGAGATACAAATTATTGCAGAAATTCAATTATTTTCAAAAATAATAAAAAATTTTACAGGGATTCAATTATTTTCGTAATTATTAAAAAATAATGCATTCATAGAAGAATTTTAGATAGAAACACGAAAAAAAATTAATTTTGGAGAAGTTACAAATTATTGCAGAAATTCAAAAAAATTAAATATTGTTCAAAAATAATAAAATTTATTCTTCTTAGAAATTCAATTATTTTCACAAATTATAAAACACATCGCAGAATTTCAATTGTTTCTGATACAATTTTAATCGAATTTCTCGAAAAATGTAATTATTCTTAAAAATTTTATTAAAATTCGTCGAGAGAATTCAATTATTTAAAAATTTGTTGATAAAATTCTTTATGTGAATTCAATTTAAAAAAAACATTTAATTATTCAATAAGTTATTAATTTTTGTATTAATATAACTCAATTCTTGTAGAATTTTCTAATAAAAATTGATTTAAAAATAGATTTCAGTTAAAATTTTAGATTATAATTTAATATTAAAAGCATTAGAGCGTGAATTTTTAGAAATAATTGAATTTTGAAATTAATTTTTTTTTTGAAAAGTTTAATTGAATTTTTTTTATATTATTTTTAGTTTTTATTTGAAGAATAAAAGAATTGAAGAATTTACGAATAATTGAAATTTTGCAAAATTGAATATTTTTAATCAAATGGATTTGAAAATTGTCAAAGAACTTTTTCGAAAATTATTAAAAATAATCAATTGAAAGAAGAATTTTAGTTAAAAATTCTTGAAAATAATAATTGAATTGATAATGATTTTATCACTCGGACATCTTTAATTATTATAAAACATGAAGAAATTCATGTCGAGTTATCGATATCTTCATGTTTTATAGTTAATGAAAAATTTATAGTTTTAATTAAGTAGTTTCAGTAAATGGTTCGTAATTTTTCATTTTTGGTCCGTAAAGTCCGTATTTTTTAATACTTTCACTGGTTCGAGCCTTGTCGTCTGATTATTTTTTTCATTTTTTAAAAACATTGCGGATCTTTTGTTACGATTTTGCTTATAATTTTGTAGTTCGATATATTAATTCTTTTATAGAATTAAAAAAAATTAATACAGGAGGGGGGGGGGGGCTAGGTATTCGTCTATCAATCACTTGTTTCTTTTTTAAATCACAGAATCAGCAGTCATCAATAAATTCGATGTGAAAGCGGTCGTGGGAATTCTTCTTTGATGCTCTCCTCGATTAAATTTAAACACAATGTTTCTTTTTAATTTTTTGTCTTTTCCTTTTATTTTTTATTTCTTTCTTTTCAAATTGCTTATTATTTGTGCAAACTAATGCGCATCATTTCGATTCTTTTACATTGTTTGAACTTTATTTTGTTTATTTTGTTTATTTACAAATTGAATATTGACATTTCTCGAGATATTATTCTTTGAGAGTGATTTTTAAGCATGATGATTTTTGTGTGTATGTATAAGTGTTTTGTGGTTTTTCTTTTATAGAGATAAAAAGAATGAAAGAAAGAAAGAAAGAAAGAGAAAAATATTCATATCGTGTCACTACGAAGCTCTTCTGAAACAGCACCAGGCTCTTTGTATGTTGAATCCTTCTTTACAGTTTTTGTTATTGGAGTTCTTCAAGTTCTTGGTGTTTTCATCGCTATTATTCTTGATCGCAATGCGGGTCTCGTCTGTGAGGACCCCATCCTCTTCTCAGGTGCTTTTTGTTTCATCATAGTGCTTTATCAAATCTATTTCAGCCATTATTTCCTCTTTCGTTTTAATTTCCTTTCTCTCGCTAGTGAATAATTCTTTATTTTGACTTATTGACTGTTGCTCGTCATTTGATTTTGAATGCTCTTCTATTTTTCCCAATGTTCTTGTTGTGTCGCGTATTGGCGATGGACTACTCAATAATTCGAAATTTGGCTCACTGTGTATCAATGTGAATGGAACTTTCACTGATATACCACCGCCGATTAATTCGTCGATCGGCGATATCATCAGTTTTACCTATAATTGGAAAAAAAAGATAATTAACGCAAATACAGACTTGATAATATTATACAGTACGAAAACCTACCACGTCAGTCATGTCCCATGAGTGGGAGTGAGACAGACTTATGCGATTCTCATACTTTCCTATGACTGACGGATAGCTTTTCTTACTGTATATCAAAAGGAATAATTGCTATTGAGTAATAGTTTATGGGAAAATTAATTTGAATACTGCTTGTTTGCTTATAGGTGAATTTTATCGAAAACTGTCGCCAACTATTATTTCAGATTAATATTTAATTAATAAAGAATCGAAAAGCAAAAGAAGATTTAATTTTGAGACTGTCGGAAAATAATAAAAGGAATACATTTGGACAAGTGATTTTCAATGTTTTAAAAATTGTAATTTTCTATTTCGTCTTTGTTACAGACTTCGAACTCACGCGATTATTGATGCTTCTTGACACTTTTTTCACCACAAACAACTATTTAGCTAATATTTTTATAAATAAGTTACTAATGACACTTATTTCGTTAGAAAAAAGCTAATTAATGGCTAATAATTTAATTTAATAAAAGCTAATAATTCAGGGCTCGGATTGTGCGACTTTTTTCGACTTTTTTGTGAAAAAATGCGACTAATCGACTTTTTCGAAATTTTTTTTAGTAAAATGCGACTGAAATTAAAAATTTTTTTTTTAAATTTAAAGGAAAAAGTTTGAGTCAAAAAAATGTTCTGTTACATTTATTTACAAATTTCTTTCAAATTTTTCGAAAACATCAATAACTTCTTTTTTAAATAAATATTTAATTATTATTTTTCCATACACTGAAAAACTGTTGGTAGAGCAGTTCCGCTATTGACTGTTGTGCAGCGCAATGGCGTTGGCGAGCGGCTGCTTGACAAAAAGGTCAGCAGCTCTATCAAAAAGGAGAGTTGCTCGCCCAAAAAGGAGAGTAACTCGCCCAAAAATAAAGTGAGCTGTGCGTTTCTTTTTAACGCAGCAGTTCACCGCATTGGGCGAACAGCTCTACCAACAGTTTTTCAGTGTAGGAATTAAAATTTTTCAAAAGATTCAAATTCAAACCTTTTTGAAATTAAACAACTTATGAAAAATTGTTATAAAACATGAAGAAATCGATCACTCCAAGTCTTCGACTCGAAGCAATCGATGTCTTCATGTTTTATAATAATTAAAGAGGATCGAGTGTTAAAATCATTATTTTATATTATAAGACTTTATAAAAAAAATTTTTTAATTATTTTTTATGAAAATAATTGAATTATTGGGAAGAAATTTATAAAACATTAGTAAGTAATTGAATTTTGCAGAAGAATTTTGATATTTACAAAGATAATTGAAATTTTGAGGAGAATTTAAAAAAAAATTTTATTATTTATAAAGATAATTAAAATTTTGACGAGAAATTTAAAAAAAAAATTAAAAATAATTGAATTTCCTGGATGAATTTTATTATTTATAAAGATAATTTAAATTTTGACAAAGAATTTTATTAAAATTTTTACAAATAATTGAATTTCAGAGAAGAATTTTATTACTCTCAAAGATAATTGAAATTTTGAACAGATTTTTTTAAAAATGTTTAAAAGTAATTGAATTATATATTTAAATTGTTTTTTTTAACAATTTAAATTAACTGTATTATGCATTATTATTTGTCAGGTGGTCAGTCTAGACTAATTTAAATTGATTTCGATCTTGTGCAATGGAAAAATAAAAAATAAAGAGTATTTTTTACAAAAATATTTTAAATTGTTAACTTTGAGTAACAAAAAAATGAATAAGCAATTAAAAATTCAAAAATCGGTTTAAAGAGATCTCTTAGAAATTTTATCCCCTTTGATTTAAGTCCAAGAACATCAAAATCCAATAAAATTTGTAAGCTCTAGAAAATTTTGAAGAGTAAAGTGTAAAAAATCCCACTGTGAGGCGTCCCGGGTAAAAGATACTGCGCTGGCACTGAAACGTGGTCGCGCTTCCACAAAAATTGCAATATCTCGAAAACTATTAAAGTCTCCATCGTTTTCTTTTTTGTAAGTGAAAGGTGAAATTATAAGGAATATTTTATTATATATCGAAAAATACTCAAAAATCGGTCCCGTGCTTAATAAATCGATTCAAAAAATTTTTTTTACTTTTTTTTTGAAAAAAACAAAAAATTTTTTTTTCTTTTGAAAAATTCTGAAAGGACATGATTTTAACTATAACATATTTAAATTTTATTAAAATCCGTTAAATTGTTTCGGAAATATTCACATTTGAAAAAAATCTTATAAAAAAATTCAAAATGGCGTAACTTTTACAATTTTGAAAATTTTTAAAAATCCTTTGGTACACTTATTTTTGTTATCAAATATAACAACTTCACCAAATTACAGAATAATCCGTAGACCCCATGCAAATTGTAATTTTTCTGACGGAGTCTTACCCATTATACAAAAATTTTGTTAAGAAATTTAATTCTTTTTGAAAAATGCCATTTGAATATTTCAAAAAAAAAATTTTTTTTGCAATTTTTTTATCTTAATTTTTTAAGATTGAATTAACTTCGGACAAAGTAAGTTAAAATTTTTTAAAATTTACTTTTTTTAGATTTATTCAAATTATGGATAAATCACATTTATATTTATTAATTAAAATTTTTCAAAAATTTAATTATTTTTTTAATAGAATTTACCAAAGTTCAATTGTTTGGAAATTTTTCAATTGTATATAATTGAAAAACTATTATCTTTCATGAATTATTTTTGAAAAATTAATTTTAAGAATTTCTTTATTATCATTTTTTGAAAATCAATTAATAACTTTAAAAACATGGACAGTTGCAATCATTATAAAAAACTGAATTTTTGTATTTAAATAATTGAATACTCTAAGAACTTTCGGAAAATTATTAAAAGTAATTGATTTTGAGAAGTTTGATTAAAAATTTTAGAAAATAATTGAATTTTAAGAGAATTAGATACACTTGTAATTTTTAGAAGTTATTAAATTTCAGAAGATTTTAAATAGAAATTTTAAAAATTTTATTTCCGTATAAAAACAAACAAGAAGTATTTAAATATTTATTTAACGAAATTATTCAAGTTTTGAATAATTAAATTTAGAAATCAGTGAAAGATAAAAAAAATACAAAATAAAATTTTTGTGACGACACTGAATTTATTAAATAAACGACTTTTTCTACTTTTTTCTATTTTAAATGAACTAAAACAGTATTTTAATTTAAAGTTGTCTATTTTACAAGAATAAAAAGTTTATAATAAGAATAAATATGAAGCTGAAGTCCCAAATGTTTTTAAAAACGAAAGATTATAAAAAGAATTTTTTTTCAAATTAATTTATATATTTAATTTCGATGTGCACAAATTTTTAAGAAATTAACTTTTTACTAAATTACCAAATTTACTTTTTAGTAGATGTTAATTAAAAAAAAAATAATTTAAATTTGTTGATAAATAAATATTGTCTGGTTATTTTACCGAATAAATTTAATGTTTTATTTTGAATTATTCTTTCAATTTCTTTACCATTTAACACCTTTAATTCTTTTTGTAACAAAATTTTTCAATTAATCAGAAATAAGATTAGTAAAAATGCCAGGAAATTTTTTTCTCGATCCTTGCTGGACACCCTGATTATTTTTGATTCATTTAGATTTTGAAGTAAAATTTTTATTGAAAGCCACTTGTTAAAATGTATTTTTTTATTATTTTTATTAAATTTTAATCAATTTGAGTTGATTAACTCGAATGTTAAAAGATTTTAGATTGGTTTATTACTTTTGAAAATTCAATTATAGTTCCAAACAAAAAATAAAAATTTCATTTTTTTAAAACAGAATACTACAACCAAGTTTCATTAATTAATGAAATGCAAAATTCAGAATAATTGTTATACTCGATGAATTAAAAACACAAAGAAAAAAAGAATTTATACTTTATATGAATTAAATTTCAGTTTAATTTAAAATAATTGCAAGAAAATGGTAAATTGTGTATATATTCTGAATAATCTCTAGTTGAAGCGGAAACGTAATATTATCATGAATTAAATTAATCACCTTGACGTAGTAGGAAACATAAATAGCAAAAACATTTCTGTCGTCGGGTCCTTTTCCGGAGCATACAATCGTCGCTGCTAAATTTCCACTGGCTTTGCTGGTGTAACTGTCTTTACTGGTGTAACTATCTTCTAAGGCAATCCAATTTTTTGTGTTGCTTCTCTCTGGATTTAAAGTATAACTCCTTGTGAGCGTAAATCCCGGATCCACCGGGCAACCTTCTCGAGACGATACTAAAGCCACTTTATTCTTGAATTTCCCATTACTAAACATGCACACGTCCACGTGTTGAACTACAAATGCCTGGAAAAAGACATTTTTTACGATATACACTCAGAATGTAATTCATCAATTGGAAAATAAAATACTTTTTAAATATTAGTTATTTTAACACTTTTGTTAATTTCATGAAATGAAATATATTCAATCATAAATTACGGTTGATTAGAGCGTGAATTTTTAGAAATAATTGAATTTTGAAAAGGTTTCAAATTAAAATCTTTGAAAATCTGAATTTTTCATATTTTTAACTAACAATTCTGTGGAATTAATTTTTTTTGAGAAAGTTTAATTATTTTTTTATTATTTGTAGTTTTTATGTTCTAATAAAAAAATATATATAATTAATTGAAGAATTTCCGGATAATGGAAATTTCGTAAAATTGAATTATAGACAAATGAATCTGAAAATTTTGAAAATTTTTCAAATAATATTATAAACTAGCAAATGATACGCGCGCTAGCGCGCGGAACGTGATCTTCGATTTATTATTATTATGCAAATTACAAAGTTTTTTATTTTCGAAATGTGAAATTTTGAATAATTTCAGATTCAAACTTTAAAAACATTCAATTATCAACTAATTTACTAATTAATTATTCTTTTTTATTAATTTCAAAATTTATTAATAAAATTATTTACAAGAATTCAATTATTTTCATGAATAATAACATTCTTTGTAAGAATTCAATTGTTTTTATATATAAGTAGTAAAATTGTTTGCAAAAATTCAATTATTTTTAAACAAAATTTTAATAAAATTTCACCATCGAATACAATTATTTTCTAGATGTTTAATAAATCCTTCGAAGCAATTAAATAATTTTTTTTAATAATAAAATCTTTGCAAAAATTCAATTATTTTCCAGAAAATTGTACGACAGAATTCGATTTTTTTCTAAATTCGTTATAAAATATTTCAAAAGAATTCAATTATTTTCTAAAATTGTAATAAATCCTTCGAATAATTTAATTATATTTATAAATAGTAAAAATTTTTATCAAAAATTCAATTATATTCAAAACAATTTCACGAAAGAATTAAATTTTTAAAAAAATTTTAATAATAATATTTATCGAAAAAATTCAAATAATTAAATAAAATTTTTTAAAATTCTTTCATATTTTAAAAACTTGAAAGAATTTCTTTGAAGGAATTTTATTATCAAATTTTTTGCAACAATTTGATGATTTTCAATCCTACATTAATTTTAAAATTGAAAATATTTAAAAAGAAAAATTATTTAAAAAATGTTAAGAAACAAAAAGCATCAACCTCTCGCATGGATTTGCAAAGCTATGCAATGGGTAAAAAAATAAAAATTAAATTTAAAAATTGTTTGCAATATGCGTCGCATTTGGTAAAAATAACTGCAAAAGTAAAATAATCTTGTTTATGTGATTTTGAAAGGTATTGTAATTCTCATCGATTTAGAGGAAATTAAAAAATTTTTAATATCCGACATTGGGAAAAAGTGACCGCACGTCCCACGTTGTAAATTTACAGGAAACGTTCACCTCATATTGCAACATATATTGAAGTTCTAGAAAAATTTATACGTTTGTTTAATATCATGTAATTACTAGAAATTAAATTATGAGGAGCAGGATAAATTATTATCCAAGTGTTAAATATAGAAACACTAAAATTTTTGTTACGTTTCGATACAGTAAGTTAAACCCAGGCCCTGGACTCAGTCGACTATTGATACTTTTCGACACATTTTTTCACCTCATACAACTATTTAGCTACTATTTTTATAAATAAGTTACTAATTATACTTATTTCGTTAAAAAAGACATTAATGGTACTATTTATATTCAGATTTTAAATATCAATTTATTTAGTGGAAAAATTAATTTTAAGACTCTAAAAAAATTGGGGACCGTAAAAATATCTTCACCTGCGAACGCCAAGGTCATCGTTAGATGGCAGTTTAGTTGATAAAATCAGATTCCTCGCCACCTAGTGACAATCTTGGCGTTCTTAAGTGAAGAAGTTTATTTTATCCCTCAACAACTTTTTTATACTTAAAAAAATGTTTTCGTTTATATATTGTATATTTTTCGAAAATTCAAAATGGCGGATACAATATGGCGGATGAATTTTTAAAAATTCAACGGATTCACTTAAAACTTGTTACTCAAGGGATTTTGGGATCGCTGATAACGAATCTAATGTCAGATTAGGAGGATCAAAAGTCAAAACTCAAGAACTTGAAAAAAAATTTTTAAACTAATACCAGATTCGTTATCAGTGACCCCAAAAATCCTCAAGTAACAATTTTCAAGTGAATCCGCTGAATTTTTAAAAAAATCGTCCGCCATTTTGAATTTTACAAAATTAGCACCGGATTCGTAATCAGAGACCCTGAAAATCCCAAAGTGACTCTTTAGATTTTAAATCAAATAAACAATTAATAGAGTAGGCTTCATAATCATCTACTAAGACCTACTATTTTTTATTTTTTTCTGTATTTTTAAAATTTCTACTGCTTTAAATTCGCTAATACTAGCAATCAAAAAACTATTCTCCAAAATAATAATCAAATTCTTTTAAAGGATTCAATTATTTTCAAAAAATAATCGAAATTCAATTATTTTCAAAAAATATTCGAAATTCAATTATTTTCAAAATATCTAGTATTTTCATAAAATTTCGCAATAGAATTCAATTATTTAAAACAAATCGATGAAATTCATCCAAAGTTCAATTATTTTTATAAATAACAAAATTGTTCACAAAAATTCAATTCTTTTTAAACAAATTAATAAAATTTTTCGCAGTAATTCAATTATTTTAAAAAATTTTAATAAAACTCTTGGCAACTATTCAATTATTTTCATAAATCACAAAATTCATCGCATTATTTTTAAAAATTTAATTTCAATTCCTCGAAAAAAACAATTATTAAAAAAAATGTTTTCTTAAAATTCGTTGAAAGAATTCAATTATTCACAAGAATTTTTCACAAGAATTCAATTATTTTCAAATATTTTAATAAAATTTGTCGAAAGAAATAAATTATTTTAAATACAATTTTAATTAAAATTTTTTGAAATAATTCAATTATTCTTTTAGATTTTAATAAAATTCTTCCCAAGAATTCAATTATTTACATAAATAATTCTTCGAAAGAATTAAATTATTAAAGATAAATAACAAAATTATTCCCGCGAAAATTCAATTATTTTCAGGCATTTTAATAAAATTCTTTGCAAAATTCAATTATTTTCATAAACAACAATATTCATCACAAGAATTCAATTATTTTTAAAAATAATAAATTTCTTCTTGTAAATTCAATTATTTTAAAAAATTCTAATAAAATAGTTCGCAAAAATTCAATTATTTTCATAAATAATAAAAAACTTATTAGGAATTTAATTATTTTCAAAAAAATTTAATAAAATACCACACAGTCATTAAATTATTCTCAAACATTTTAATAGAATTCTTTGTAAAAATTAATTATTTTTAAAAACTTTGCGCAATTCAATGATTTTGAATATCTACTATTTTCATAAAATTTCCTAAAAGAATTTAATTATTTAAAAAATTTTTTGTAAGAATCTGCGTAAGAATTCTATTCTTTTCATGAATAATAAAAATTTCTCAAGAATTCAGTTATATTTAAATTAGAATTTGCATAAAATTAGTCGAAAGAAATCAATTGTGACGCGACCCGAAGAAAGGTACCTAAGAAGCAAACGAATTATAGGTGGTTGGGTTCGAGTTAGATTTATCTTGATTAAAAGTTCATTTTTAATTATTTGAATTTTAAACCAATATTAATTGAATATTTTGAATATAATGAAAACTTGAAAACCAACAATTTTTAATTAATAATTGATTCTCTTTCTGTATTTTTACTCAAAAAATTTAAAACATAACCTCAAATTTTTTCCTTCTTAGGTACCTTTCTTGGGAACGCGTCACAATTATTTAAACAAATTTTATAAAATTCTTTGCAAGAATTAAATTATTTTTATAAAAATATTTAAATTCTTTCATGAATAGTAAAATTTGTTGTGGGAATTCAGTTTATTAGCAGGATAAAAAAGAAGTAAATATTTTTGATGAAAATTAGGAAAAAGTTAGGAAAATACAATAAAGAATGGAATTTTTGTCAGTTTTGTGAAGTGTATAAAACGAGTTTTTTTGGTCGTCAAGTTTCATTTTTCGATAGCTATTTTTTTTAGTTTGAAAGTTACTTTTTGATACTTTTTTAAAATTAATTAACGAGTGCGAAGTCTGATATAGCTTTTTTTAATCACCAACGTAACTGCTACGTACAAAAAAAATGGGAAATTACATTTAATTATTTTTATAGTACTATTATAATTATTATAAACAATAGGTAGAATATTGTTAAAACAAGTTTCAATAAAATCCACTGGCTGTGTTTCCCGGGGGCTAAAAAGGGTTAAAAAAATTGTTAGCAATTTTATTTCAGGGCTCGGATTGTGCGACTATTTCGACTTTTTTTCGACTTTTCTAAGGAAATGTGATTTTTTTTCGACTTTTTTGTGAAAAAATGCGACTAATCGACTTTTTCGAAATTTTTTTTAGTAAAATGCGACTGAAATTAAAATTTTTTTTTTAAATTTAAAGGAAAAAGTTTGAGTCAAAAAAATGTTCTGTTACATTTATTTACAAATTTCTTTCAATTTTTTCGAAAACATTAATAACTTCTTTTTTAAATAAATATTTAATTATTATTTTTCCAAAAGAATTAAAATTTTTCAAAAGATTCAAATTCAAACCTTTTTGAAATTAAACAACTTATGAAAAATTGTTATAAAACATGAAGACATCGATTGAAGAGGATCGAGTGTTAAAATCATTATTTTATATTATAAGACTTTATAAAATAAATTTTTAATTATTTTTTATGAAAATAATTGAATTATTGGGAAGAAATTTATAAAACATTAGTAAGTAATTGAATTTTGCAGAAGAATTTTGATATTTACAAAGGTAATTGAAATTTTGAGGAGAATTTAAAAAAATTTTTATTAT